AACTTTAAGTTCTTAAGTTTGATTCAATTGGTTTTGGGGTGCGATTCTTAGTTTTAATGTTGTTTCGGGCATTTCGAGAGTTCAAGCGAGTCTGTTTTATGATCCAAACTTGTTGGTATGTTCGGGCGGGGCCCCGAGTGTCAATCGGACGAGGCTCAGACCAAGATGAGAATTTGGAGCAGCAGTTGATGCACCAGATTTGTCAAAACCGCACCTGCGCTTGGTCAGCCGCAGATGCAAGCTCGTAGGTGCAGGCCAAGCCTCGCAGAAGCGGCCAAAGGAGGGTAGCCCAGGTTCCACAGATGCGGCCCATCCTCTGCATAAGCAGGTACCCATCCGTAGAAGCGGTCCCAGTCGGCCTAGTGAATTCCGCAGAAGCGGACCCTTGTCCGCATAAGCGAGGGCGCAGGTGCGGCCCTATGACCGCAAGTACGGAAATCGCTGGAGGCAGTGAGCCTCATTTATTACGGGTTAGGACCATTTTAATCATATTTTTTTTCACTCTTGGGCGATTTGAGAGCTTCTTAGGAGGGGATTTTGACCTAGCTTTGTGAGGTAAGTAATTTCTTCCAAATATGAGTTTAGTACATATATTATGGGTAGATTTCCACATGAAAATTGGTAGAAATCATGGGTTGAGATGAAAAACCTAGGGTTTAATAAAAATGAGATTTTATCACGAAAATGATTATTAAACTTAGTGAAAATCATATATTATGTTCCTAAGGTTATGGGTAACAACTTTCTTCAAAAATTTCAGGAATCCGGGCATGTGGGCCCGGGGGTAAATTTTAGGAATCTTGTAATTTTTGTTGGGTAATTACTTGAATAGTGGAGATATGAACTTTTGAGAAATAGATTGATCGATTTATATTATGTTTGGCTAGTTCCAAGTCGTTTGGCATCAAATTTGGAGGTTTGAGTGCATTCTTGAATTGTGAAGTAAGCTTTGAGATGAGGTAAGTCTCTTTTCTAACCTTGTAAGAGGGAACTTACCCCATAGGTGAACTTAATTAATATATGTGGTTATTTGTGGGGGATACGTACGCACGAAGTGACGTGAGTCCATACGTAGCTATTATTCCTGTTTTTGTCCGGGTAGTTTTATGTTTACACCATGCTTGTGGACACCGTTATTTAATCATAATTGTTAACTGTATCAAATGGAACTGAGTTGAGGATTTTTTAAGGATTTAAAAGCTCCAAGTCGAATTGTCTTTATTTTGAAAAGAATCAAAGAAGAGTTATGATTTATGGATAAATTTATATTTGACCGCGTCGCATGTATGATTCACAAGCGGGGTAATATATACATCTATGGTTCGCACCGTTCAACCCTCGGCAGTGCACAATTTACATTTATGTTGGATCGGGCCGAACGTCCTCGGTGGTATTCGTGTGTGATCATATGTTTTAAAGGAAGGAAGTGATTCAAGCTCTTAAATATTTCTGAAGACTTGCTCAGTTATTTCTTGTTCTGAGTCTTATTGTTGTATATCATGCTTAATTAGAATTTCATATTATCATGTTATTGGCCCTAGTAAGTGTCAGAGTCGACCCCTCGTCATTACTTTTTTGAGGTTAGGCGAGATACTTACTGGGTACGCGTTGATTTACGTACTCATGTTATACTTGCTGCACGTTTTTATGCAGGTGCATATATGTCTAGCGGCCTCGTAGGCACAGAGGCACGATTATTGCGGGGACTTAGGTGAGCTGAATTCTACGTTACGCGTCCGCAGCCAGCAGAGTCTCCTTCAGGGTATTTATATTTTCCTGTCCAATTTATATTCCGGACAAATGTTGTATTTTATTTTATATTCCTAGTTGATGCTCATGCACTTGTGACACCGGGTNATCGCTACTTCTTCGAGGTTAGGCTAGATACTTACTGGGTACATATTATTTATGTACTCACGCTACACTTATGTACTTAATTGTACAAGATCTGAGGCAGGTGCATCCGGTTACCAGTCTGGTGCGCATATTTGATCCCCATCTCGAGACTTCACGGTGAGCTGTCTTCCGAGCTGTTCTGCAGCAGCCGGAATTTCCCTTATGTTTTATTTTATTTCTGTCTATTTCATTTCAGATAGTAAGCTAGTGTTCTTTTGTATATTCTACTAGATTGCCCACGTACTTGTGACACCAGGTCTTGGCACACACACTTGTAGACCTATGATTTTGGTTTTGTTTACATGATTACTATTTGTACTCTTTTGCTTCCATTTAATTATGTCACATTGGCAAATTTCTAAATCTCTTTAACAAATGAGGAAATGTTATCCACTTAGTTTTTTATTTAAACGGGAAACCATTAGTTTGATCAGTGTTGGATTACCTAACAATGGTGTTGGGCGCCATCACGACCTAAGATGGGATTGGGTCTTGACACTAACCAATCATTCCACCATTCCAACCAATCAATCTACCATTCCTACCAATCAAACCCATAAAATGCAAACATTTAAAGAAAATATAAACTAACTAAAACATCCAAACACAAGTTAAAACATTCAAGCACCATTCAATCAAGTCTAAACATTACAATCATAGTCAAGTCTAAACATTTACCAAGTCTAAACATCCAATTACCACAACAAACAATAATGTCTCAAACATCACAACTAACTAAAACTCATTATCCTCGACATTTGGAGGAACATACGGAGGTCTGCTCATAAGTTCTCCACTAGACTCTGCAATTTGTCAAAATTTGCACGATCTTCTTTCCGTCCCTCCTTCAATTTATCAACTTCTTTTCGTAATGCTTCCACCTCTTCTTGATATTTCTAATAACTCGTATCGCTAGAAAACAATGTCGTAGGACGACCTACGAAATGTTATGATCCAAGACTGTAGGTTCTACCTTTATTTGCGCCACCAACCACCTACGTCCATATTGAAGCTACATCATTGAGTGATACTTGGGGTTGAGCGACCATCCTCGGAATCCAGTTGACTTTGACGCCATTCCTCAAAACTGTTTTGACAAACTTCCTGAAATTTAAATGTTATAGCACTAATAAATAAATTATGTTAACTTTTTACGAGACTTTAGCACAAAAGCCAAAGTCTTCTCCACGAGATTATCCAGATCCAAATCAAACTTTAGTTGGATACTTGCCTGCACACTGAATTTCTGTGTGAGAAAAAGTAAGAAGTAGATCACATTTCTGATTCTTAATTATCGAAAGAACAACAAACAACATTTCCTCAATATCTCTCTTCTTCTTCTTCCTGTCCATTTCATTTGTCCCCCTTTTGTACACTACATTCCTACAACATCAGGGAACCTCCTTCCTTCCTTAATTCCTTCAGTTATATTTGTAGAGTTATTATATCATAGACAAAATCTCCTTTTGTACTCCTATCATGTTAATTTATTTCTTAGCACCAAAATATGTTACTATATTATTTGATCTTAGATATAATTATTATTCTTTCTTATTTGTACATGTGACAGTGTTCAAGTATAAGAACGGATCAGATTCAGTGTTGGAGGTAAATAAAGATGACTATGATAAGTGCAACATAGAAAATCCGATCAAGAAAATGGAAGATGACAACTCTGTTTTCAAGTTTGATTGCTTTGGTCCTTTCTATTTTATCAGTGGCAAAAAGGATAAGTATAAAGAAGGAAAAAAGTTGATTAATGTTGTTCTTGCTCTTGCAGTGAAGAAGGCAAGAAATTATGAATATCAATCTTCCATTAACACGAGTAATTTACCAGAAATAGACGTAAGAAGTTTAGAAGAGGAGGTGCTAATTACAGTCTATTGCAAGAAGAAACATACAGGAATTATAGATGAAATATTAAGTGTGATTCAGAAGCTTCACCTAACTATCACAGTAAATTATCGAACGGAGGGATAGCATTATCATTTGGTTCATACTAAGCCCCGGGTGCATCACAAAAGCATCCCTAATCATTTTATCGAATCGAGAATTTTCATCATTTGGACTACCCTCACTACCAAAAAAAGTTTGAAAATCGACATTACCAACACTAGCAACATCCTTTCCATGAATAATCCACACGTAATAATTTTTCATAAACCATTTTTTATAAAGATAAATTTTAACAACATCTGGTTGCAATAACTTTCCGCACTTGCATTTCACACAAGGGCATCTAATCACTCCTTCACTAAGAAATTCATGAAGCGTTTTCGCTTTAGTCGTAAATTCAGCAACCCCTTCTATAAATTCCTCTCTCAACCCACTACGATTAGGATAAGTGCGATTATACATCCATCTACGATTTGCAAGCTCCATCTACACAAAATAAATCCAAGATATTTAAAACAGTATATATTACTTAGTATTATGCCAAACAGTTAACTTATAAAAAAAATTGGTTCTTTCAACAACAAAATTATATTTTGTGGCCATCCTAGAATATTCAAGACTTCAAGAAATTTGTCAGCCCATCCAAAATGTATAATTGCCTAGAATATATATATATATATATATATNTTTCCTATAAACTTGTATTACTGCCTAAACTTAATTAAGGAATTATCACTCTGCTAAGACAACAAGCTTATGTTAGTCCACTATTGTTCTCAAGATACTCTGACAAGAGAGAATGAAGATATTGTAAATATGGATTCATTGAATTAGAAGCACAAGTTATGATATGAAGGGGATCCCTAGAAGAAGAAGAATCTAAAAGATTATAAAATGAGACTAATTAATGAGAGGTTGCATGTACCTAGAGAAATAATAAAAAGTAGTGGAATCTAGCTAAAACATCTACATGCCTAAGAGGCAAAAGAGAAATGTGGATGACTATATACATTGGCAAATTAACAAAATTAAAATGAATACAATTTCATTCTCATGTGTCTATGCTTCAGCTCCTGACTTTATAGTGTCTTAGGCTTCAATCTCTAGTATTCCAAGAAGAGGAAATAACACTCAAAAGTAAGAAGTACTAGCATAAGATCACAGTAACCAAGAAGTTAAAAGGAACTGAGTTCCCGATGAGCAAGTCATAAGTCTAAAGCAAACAACGAGCTTGCAGAATCTTACTTGGGAGTAAGTATACAAACAATTCATTTCATTATCACAGCTGGACAGTTAAAAAAATGGGTAAAACTAACAAAAGAAAATAAACAGTTTCCTAAAAATAAAATAGAACTTCTGTTGCTAGGTCAAAGATTTGTAGCAAGAAACAAGCTGTGTACATATTTTTTTTTTTATTAGTCCACTTCTTTCTGAAATTTTCAATTGCCTCCACTCTCATTCTCAAGATTTCACAGCAAGATTGCTGATACTGCATATTGATGGAATCCAGAAACAATATCAGAATAAAAACACTATCACAAAAAAAAAAAAAAAAAGGATTCCAACAGAAACACATATTAAAAACCACATAAAGATTATGCCTTTATCAATAAATTAGAATTACCCAATTTTTATTAGAAAATAACTCACGATGAGGAAGCTCAAAAAGACACAGAAGCAGATTTGGAGTTAGAGGCAGGAGGTGCTGATCGATTTCAAGGAGATCTAAGGCAATTATTGGATGCTAAAAAACTGCAGCAGGTTCCTGAAGGTAAAGGTTTAGATAATGCTAAGAATACTGGGGAGATATCACTTGGTGGTCATCAACAATCTGATGCTACTGAGATGAGAAATACAACAGATGTTACTAGGACACTTAACGCTACAACTCTTGTTTCTGGGCAGAAGGTTAAGGGTCCTAGGTTTGAACTAAAGGAGTCTGGGCAGAATCATGTGACAAACGTAGGTAATGCTTCAACTGTTAACAAGGATCAAACAAAGTTTCCAAGTGATATCCCTACTAGCATAGCTTTGGCTAGGATCTACAAAGTTGTGGGTGATCAAAGTTCAACTATTGAACCTGGGCATCTTCAGCAGGTGCACGATCTACCTTCTGCTGCAGCTGGTGAATCAGTTGATAAAACAGCAGGCCTTAGAGCTACTGTTATGGCCGATGAGGGGCAATATCAGGTAGGTGGTATGGCTTTGGAGTGTGCAGATCCTACATTTTCTAAAGCATCAAATACAGAGGCTAAACATCCTCAACTTTTAGTTGGAGTTGAGCAACCTACTTTTGAGATTTTGTAACGTACTGCTGATATTGCTGGTTCATTGAATACAACAGCTGATCGAGCTGCTACTGATGCTGTTGAATCAGTGTTTCAAGGAGCTAAGGTTCCTACAGGAGCTGGGCAAAGCACCACTGGTAGGCGACACATATTCTCTCAAGCAGTTACAAGTGAGAATATCTTGAAAAAGACAGATGTGTGGCATGATCAAACTGGAAATTCGATGCGGCGCATTGAATCTGCAAATATTGTCCATGATGATAAAACACGAGCAGTTCCTACTAGTGGTGAAGGTACATCTAAAAATACTGACGATAAACTGGCTGTTCATGCGGTGCAAAAAATAAAAGGTGGAGAATGGTCAGTGATTAATCGAACGATTCCATCACCAAACAAAAATAATTCTCCAGTTCAGGTTGTGGCATCAAAGGCAGTTAGTGTTGCTAACTCTTTTGGTATTTTAATGAATGAAACTGTGGTGGATGATGTTGGGACGGGTGTGCAGCATGTTAACTGTGATGCAAACTCAGAAAATAGGCAATCAAAATCTGCAGAAGCAAAGAACAACAGCTTTCCAAGAACACATGTTTAATTGTTTCGAAGGACAATGTTCCTGCTGATGCGCAAATAAATGGGGCATTCCAAGTGTTTACTGCAACCACAATGTCCCTAAACCACAATGATGCTGGAAACAGGGGGCAGCGTAATAAGAGAGATCAAATCATCGACAGTGCAAAACAACAGTTTGAATGTAAGGCAGCTTCAAAAAACAGTCTATCAAATGCACCAGGCATTGCAAAACAGAACCAGCTATCAAAAACTACTGCAGCTCCAACTAGTGCCTCAACAGACATTGTTCTTGTTGAGGATCCAAATGCAGTGGCAGCTACATTAACATCTGGATCAACAGTACATATCTGCAATCCAGATTTGGATAAATTGATAAAGGAATCAAACGTAGCTATGTGGCTGCATACCATTCAAAATGTTAACGCCCCATTGGTTACTTTGAATACCTCCGTTCATGAGATCCCTTCGCAATCGATGGAGTCTTATGGTGAGCGATCAGTTTATTCTGGACAGCAACTACTGTCAACATGTAACAATCAACAAGAAAATGCAGGTATGACTTCTTTCTCTCAAACATCCACAAATGAAGGAAGTTGTTCTAAGGAGCAACAAGGCGCTACTAGTGCTGTCATGGTAGGTCGTAAAACATGGGCTGACCAAGCAGAAGAGTTTGAAGAATGGGAAGAAAACTTTGGCTTGGAGTGTGGTGATAACAACTCTCCAAGGCAGAATACAACTCCAAAAGTAATGAAGCAGCAGCAGATTTCAAGTGCTGCAGATGTTCGACAGAATCAGCAGCAAGCAGTCGCGCACCGAACACCTAAAAATAGGAGATCTCCAGGCGTGCAAGACCAGGTACTTCAACATGAGGCAACTTCAAAAAACAGTACAATGCTGCAGTTTTCCAGCCCTCGCGTGGTAAAAATTATCAAGGACGCCCATCTGACGCAAAAAACTGAAAGTACTTCGACTGGAAAACTAAAGAGCAAGCTTAATTTGGATGCTCCAGATTTCATTCCTAGAAAGTCTCCTGGTACTACATGCATTCACAATGCAGTAACCCACCAAATTCTGGGCAGGAACATATTGGAACAAGCAAAGCAGGTACTATCTGGATGAAAAATGGAGCAACAAAAAGGACTGGGCAACAGCTGATTTTTGCAAACATTCCAGCTGATACTTTTGTGTCTGGTCAATATGCAACAACACCAGCAGTTGCTCAACAGCAGAAGCAAATTGCAAGCACGCAACAAGCAGTAATATCAACTCCAAATGCTGGACAGCAGCAGCAGCATTTACAACCATGTATTGCAGTAACGACTACACAAGCTGGACAACAGCATTTGGTTACAACCACTCCAACTATTTCTGTGAATGAGGAAGTAAACGTTAGGCGACTCCCAATGAGAGTTGCCAAACAAAAACAGGCATCCCCAACTACATCTACAAGGTCCAAACGTTCAATAAAAAAGTCATGAAGTTTGAAGACATTCTGAAGAGGTTTGATGAAGATGATCAAGAACTACAAATTGAAGAAGTTGCAAGTTTGGGCAACAAGGGACAAGAATCAAATTCCTACTATATCTTATTTTACCATTTTATTAGTATAGTCATTTGTAATATCATCACGGAGTATGTTATAAACTCTGTGATGATCATAGAATATTTATTGCTCTCTAGCTCTTTCTTTTTACATGCTTGTTAGTAGGCGAGGATATTTATTCCTCAACGGGATTAGTAAGGTAAGGTTAGGCCCAGTATGTGGTTGCTCATGTCCTATGCCTTTGGAAAGACATCCAAATGGCTATGAGAATATATGCCCTCGTGGGACTTTGCCGGCAGATCGATAATCCTCTACATGAGGCTGCCATCATATGACAATGTGAGGCGCAAAGGAGTGACTATATAGCGAAGGCATACAGGCAACACTACTGGTGCTATTGTCCCCCTTATATGTACTTTTCCTATATGTTGCACTTTTCTTTTCTATTATTAATAAAATAACTACCGGGCAAAAAACAAAAAGAAAAAAGAAGAAGAAGAGAAAATACAGAGAAGAACCACAGATTCCAACATAAACATATATTAAAAATACATAAAGATTGTGCATTCTAATGAAATTAAAGTTACCCATTTAAGATTGTGCCTTATAATTGAAGATGGAAAAAATAAGCAGAAAAAGGAAAGACAAACTTACAGTCGCACAAGAGGAGTGGTTAGTGAGAAGAAAGAGAGAGAGCTGAGGAGTGACGAGTGATTTACAGTCACAGAGGAGAAGCGAACGAGAGATTGAAGAACAACGGCCTCACAGGTGGAAATATCGAGAGCGAGAGAGAGAGAGAAATAAAGGAAATTGGGGAAATAGAGTTTTGGCCTGAAATATTATATTTATATTTCTCACTACCGTATTCGCAAACCAAATTAAATATTCTTTAATTATTTTAATTTTAATTTTGCGACCGAAGCGGTCGCTTAGTTGGTCAACTGATATTTTTAACTTTTTATTGTCCGATCGAATCGGTCGCAAACGTGAAGGCGGGAACTTGGCGCGTTATTTTTTTAATGCTTTTGTCGGAATAATAGTCGAATTTCTTATTTTAAAAAAAATAAAAATTCAATCTTTTTCCGATTACTGTAGTCGCAAAAGTAGTCCCATTAGCGACTACTTCATTTTCAGTCGCAAATTTTGATCACAAATTGATGTTTTTCTAGTAGTGGTTGTCAAGCCTGCACGTACAACCACAAACTACATGTATAACTTCATATACCGAAGGAGCTGATCTTTGCCACGATCATGCCGATTCGACCATTACTAACCGACCCAACTTTTTTCAATTTACTCTTGACCCACCTTAGAGATAATAATAACTCCATTCACAACGTAACAAACTCAATCCGCACTCATCCCGAGTGACCCGAATCGCAAGACCACATCGTCTCAATACTCATGAACCATCTCATACCCTCTTTATGCGCATAATAACATCTCCAACTGGTACACCCATTCTGCAAGACCTTTCGCAAATCCGAAGCTATTTTTTCCTTTACTCCAATACTACACCGCATATCCAATGATAAAATAGAACATTCCAGGTTCCGTTCGCAATCCACTGCGAAAACTCGGTCCTTAACCACACAACGGACCCGAAATCCTTAGGCACGACACTTTAATTCTTGAACCCATTAAGGACCGTTGTTGAGAGCCACCTACTCTGACCTGGTCCTGAATATAACCAACTCCAATGCTCTGCGAGCACATGAACACCCTCTCAAAGAAGCAACCCGCTGAACTCTTTCCCTTGTACATTACACCCATAAGAAGCATAACTCCGAGTCTTCCCAAAACCTGTACCTAAATTGATAAGGCAAAGCACATCGCACATTCATCAAGCTCCTTGCTCAAATTACTCCTGATATTTTCTTTTCTTAGTCATAAATAATCCACCAACGTATCAATAACCAGAAACCGCAAAAGCAGAAAACCATGCGATCCAATCGTAGACGGTGGGCTCCCCCACTTAGCTTTAAACTACCATCACTCTTCGTAGAAATCCCATCAAAATCACACAACCGCTAACCTGTTCACAGGAGATAACCCACATGTGGTATTCCATGTCGATATCTTCTAACGATGCTAGGTACAACTATCGTGAGTTTAATAAACCCTCCCGAGTCCGCGCTCATTCACCAGCTGTACGAGTCTGATTATTCCCCATTGACATCAACTAAAAGTGCGACAATACATTCCAAACTCGAAGTCATGTCGCATCCCAATGATAATCAAGTTTTCACACCGCTCTTCATTTCAAGCAAATTCCTTTCTGCCATATTCAATGTTCCTCAATACAGTAGCCACCATTCCAAATAAAATTCATAGACCTAGTCGCTCCCCACCACAATTCCCAAATCGCTCTAAACTTTTCTCAAGGCAAGTGGCTAACCTACCACAAAATCCATATGCTACTCTGCCACTTTGGTTAAACCATCTTCTTTAAGCAACTTCTCGATATTTGCTTTTTATACTTGACCTGCTAGTAATTCAACCACCGTGAGACACCTCTCACCATGTCCTTCATCATCCTTCGCTGCCCAAATGCTGCGTCAAATCAAAACCCATCTCTGTAGCACCTGAACTAATAAATTGCTACCAACTCCAAACCTCCTAGAAGATCATCTTTCTCGAGCAGTCAACATTAGAAATACCAATTCGATTCTGAACCGCTACACACCGCTACCTCTGGCAACTGCTTCTTAGGCGCCACTTTCCCAACATCCTACCCCGAAGGCAAATCGAAGAAGACCATAACACCGATGAACCTTAATGCGTTTCAACAAGGACGACGATACCACATCACAAATGAGAATTCCACCACGCTCGAAAATAGCAAGTCTCGTCACTTCATCAACCAAGGCCTGGACATCCATAGCCCGATTGCCTTTCCTTTGCTGGAATTGAATGCTGAACCTCTAAATCATGCACTGAGAAATCCTCCTTTCAAGTTATTCACTTCCTCAACACACAAACAAGAACCCTACCATCACACCAACATTGTACGATAACAACGCATATACATCATAGCTATTAGTGCACAGTCTCAAAACCATTGGGACTACAGATACTGAGTTGGAATAAAAGAATATCCTTCCGCAAGGTGATGATAATAGCCTACCCGAACACGCAGGGAAAAAATATCCTGCACCACGTCTGTAGTACCAATACAACTCCTCGATACCCAATTGACAACAAGCACCCCATGTCGTGTAAGATTGAGTAGGAAGGAAATAAAGGCAAAAGCCTCAATGGAATCAACCGCACGATGAGGATATCAAGAAGGGAAGTGCTCCTAACAGCCCTGTAGCCTCTCGAAGATAAGTACAGACGTCCCCGTACCGATCCGCAAGACTCTACTAGACTTGCTCATGACTCGTGAGACCTAAGTGAGCCTAACGCTCTGATACCAAGCTGTCACGATCCAAAATCCACTAAAGGTCGTGTTGGCGCCTAACACCGCCGTCAGGCAAGCCAACGGTGATTTATCAATTAATTTACTCATTTTAGCATTTGAAATCAAAATGTTTCCTTAATTAAATCGTATGAAATATATTTTCAAAGTAAGTTATAATATTTACACAACTACATCAACGAACAACCCATAGGAACCCCCAAAACTCGGTGTCACAAGTACATGGGCATTTTCTAAGGAATATAATAATAATATAACATCTATCCCTAGTGTAATAAGATAGAATAAAATAAATAGCACAATGGAGACTCGGTGGACTGCGATGCGTAGCCTGGAATATAGCTCACATAAAGTCTCCTCAACAGGTGCGCCTATGCGCCAAGGTGATCATTAATGAACTTGTCATATCCTGCACATTTAGTACAGAAGTGCAGCATGAGTACGTAAATTAATGCGTACCTAGTAAGTATCTAGCCTAACCCCGAAGAAGTAGTGACAAGGGGTCGACATCGACACTTACTAAAGGTCCAATAAAATAATATAGTAAAACATGAGCAGATATGAAGCATACGACAATGGTGGGGTAAATCTGTAAGTTACATAACCTTCCAATCACTCTTTTAAAGCATGAATTTCTAAACCTTGTATTCTACCTTAACAGCTCAGAAAAATGTCAAGTGTAATTATCCTATAAATAGGAAATACCATAAAATGCTGGGCATCAATGGAAAGATTAGGTTGTAAATATCCGGGCTACTAGAGATATAACGCACGATTCTGCCGAGGTCGTTCAGCCCGATCTAAAATAATGTGTACACTACCGAGGGTCGAGCGGTACGAACCATATATACATCTGTTATACTGTTGAGGCGTTTGGCCCGCTCCACAAGAAAAGGAAGGAGGTTACTGAATTTCGAGAAACGTGCTTACAATACAGTACATGAGCACAAAAATGAATATAATCTTTACCGTTTCTCAAATAACTCGCCCACAACTCAAAGTGTTAAGGCTCGACCTAGTATACACATATTTATTTCTAAATCAATTTCAATTATAACTTAAATTAATGAAGCCAGCAAAATGAGTCCAAATAATTCAAATATTACATGATAAGGTCCTAAGTCTACCCGGACATAAACATGATTTAGCTACGTACGGACTCTCGTCACCTTGTGCGTACGTAACACCCACAACTAGTGGCACATAACAGTAAATATCACCTAGGGGGTAGTTTCCACCTCACAAGGTTAGACATGAGACTTACCTCGCTCTGAAGTTCCATAACAGGCTCCAAAGCGTCTTTAACACCTCAAACCAAAGCCCTTCAATCCAAAACTAGTCAAACAATGTGAAAACCAATCAAAATATATTCTAATACCCATAATTAATCAATTTAAACAATTTCCAACTCTGCTCGAAAAGTCGATAAAGCTAGCCCTCAAGCCCACGTGCCCAGATTCCGAAAATATTTGAAGATAAACTTTACCCATGATACCACGAACTCAAATATATGATTTATTCCTAATTCCATATCCAAAATCGTGGTCAAAATCCAAAAATATCAAATTCTAGGTTTTCTACCAAAAACCCCACAATTTCTATGTGGGAATTACTTACCTTGGCATAGATGATGAAAATCTCTTCTTAAAGCTCCCAACAATCGCCCAAACCATGTGGAAAATGAGGAAAATGAGCAAAACCCCGATTTTAAAACAATCTGCCCAGCCGACCTTCCGCACCTACAAAAAATTCATCGCAGGTGCGGTTCCCTCCAAGCTAGGCAAAATCTGCTTCTGCGGATCATTTTTCACTTCTGCGGTCCACCACGTGCTCCTGCACCCCTGCACGTGCGAAGGTCTTCCGCTTCTGCGACCCCAGCTGCCAATCTCGTTTTTCGCTTCTGCGGAGCACCCTTTTCATCTGCGGGCTTACAGATGCAGAAATACACTCGCATCTGCGGCAATCCCAACTTAGTCCAAATGTCGCTTCTACGGCTCCGCACACGCGGCCAAAACCTCGCAGGTGCGGTTATACCAGATGCCAGCTGCTTCTGCCTTCCTCCCAAGTCCAAACTCGATCCGTTTTCAATCCGACTCGCACCCAAGCCCCTGGGACCCTGTCCAAACATACCAATACATCCCAAGGTATAGTACGAACTTAGTCGAAGCCTTAAACCACGTCAAACAACAAAGAATTACAAATCGATGGCCAAAACCTTTCTTTCAACTTTCCAGCCTTCAAACTTCGACGAACGCTTCCGATTCTTATCAAAACATTCCGGAATGATGCCAAACTTTGTGCGCAAGTCATAAATCATAATACGAACCTATTCCAAGGCTCAGAATCCCAAATGGATATTAATAACACTAAAATCCACTT